TGCTACTACTGCTGCTACTCCTACTACTACTACTACTACTACTACTACTGCTACTATTACTACTACTACTACTACTACTACTACTACTATTACTACCACTACTGCTACTACTGCTAGTAGTAGTAGTAATAGTAGTAGTAGTAGTAGTAGTAGTAGTAGTATTACTACTACTACTACTACTACTACTACTACTACTACTACTACTACTACCACTACTACTGCTACTCCTTCCTTCTACTGCTGCTGCTACTGTTACTTGTCGTTGCAGTGGTGTTGGTGCCACTGCTGGTACGAGGTGGTGTGTGGTGATGGCTGCTGCTGCTGCTGCTGCTGCTGGTGCTGGGTGCTGGGTGCTGGGTGCTGGGTGCTGCTGCTGGTTCTGCTGCTGCACGCAGTCTTTCCATAGCCATCGTATACGTCATCGCAAGCCAAACATCGGTGGAGAATTCGGCGTGGATGTGCATATGTTCAGGTATGCATCTATGTATGAATGCGTATTCTTATTGTCCCTTGTGGTTGGTGTCACGATTGTTTCTGTATGCATGTGAAAACGATACACATAAGCTCATTACAACGAAGCTCTGCTAGATTGCACGAAGGTCCTGGTGCTGCTGCTGGAGGTGTCCCTAGAGCCGGGTACCAACGAAGAGCCTGAATATAAATCAGCTGCACGGTATTGATGTTCAGGCCCTTCATGATCCCGGTGATCTTGATCTCGGTCTTGGCAGCGCGAAGCACCACATCGCTTCTTGGATTCAGCGTGGTGTTCGCCATGTGTTGGCGGTCCAGGGGGCATGGCAAGTAGTGTTCGGTAAGGTGCTGTACCGGTCCAAGCTTGGGGTTTTGGGCTTAAGGCCATTTTTCGGGGCCTTTGAAGGTTAGGGATATGGGGAGGGGGAAACAGATGCGGGTATTCGGGTTTGCGAGTAAGCGTCCTCCGGTTTACCGTTCTCGGATCTGGGTTGTCTAGATCGCCATACTGGTACCACATCCTGCACACGTTCTGTGGATACGTGTACCGTACATGTTGTTTGGGTTTCAGCTTCAACGTGTTCTCTTCCTGCCTTTCTGTTTCTGGCCTCTGAACCTGGGAGACGTCCATGTGACAAGCAGCTCACCGGCTGGACCCAAGCTCGTCCCCCCCGGAAGCGCTCCTGTGCTCCTTCCAAAGGCTTCTGAAGTCACATGGCGATGGCCTCAGGGCCTCAGGGAGCTGCACAAAGACCGGGAGCCTCAGAGCAAGAGGTCTCTACCACGAGCTCATGAACGTCCAGTCCTTGCCTTTCCTTGCGGAAGCAGCCCACTGGCGACAAGGCACCTTGCCGCTGTTGGAACCCGCCTGGCTTGCAAGAGCATGCCAAAGGCCACTACACAGTGGAAGCCTTGCTTTGGGAAGAAGCGCGCCCTGAACCTGGAAGCCGACACTGTGCCTCCAGGATTTTGGAGTCAGAAGGAATGGCCGAGCACAGTCGTGTTCGTGGCATCTCGTTTTCCGTCAAAGCAGTTGCTCGGACTGAGGCACACAGCGGCAGGTTGCAAATGCGTAGCAGCCTCAGCAGAAGTACACGCTGCTCACATCCAGTCCTCATTCTTGCGAGGCCAAGTGCCGGCGGCAGTGAACAGCTCCGGACCTTCACTCGTGATGCCGACGACAATCCGGAAGTGCGTCAGAGCCTACGAAACCGGAAGCCATGCGCAATGCCCCCTGAAGTCAGTGGCATTGCAAAAGCAGTATCTGTTCGTCCACCAACCCTACCATGCGCCGGGCCCAGGCGAGTTCCCGGAGATCATCTCAATTTCGAGGCGCACTGCTAGAAACCCTGCTCATCCCTTGATTTCGGGCCTGAACAACAAGTCAACGAAAGTGCGGCGGCACCGCCTGGAAGTCAGGACAGCCACAGAGAACGAGATCACCGAAGTGCCCAGGGCTTAGGAGAGCAGCCCCCACGAGAAAGGCATCATATCGGGGATGATGGCTGCATCTCGACATCAGTTCAGGGTTCAGCGACGCCTGCCTGGAGACGAGACGTGCCCTAGCTGCATGCAGGTCTACCACTAGCTTGGGCAGACAAGATCGGGCAGACATTTTGCACGCATTGTCCCGTCGCCAGAACTCTGGTGAACGGCTTTCCAGTGACCGGACCTGCTGGGCAGCTTTGCGGCCTCGTCACGCGAGAGGCATCGCGCTAGACATCTCTCAAGACATGTAGGCGCCATGTCCACGACTCTACGATGCATGGGTGCGAATGCGTCTACTTGCTGCTTGGGATTTCCGCGGATTGATGTGCTCAGGCGCTGATGGGCCTGCTTGCGCAGAACCACCACAGCGTCCGGTTCCTGTTTGGTCTGAGCTGGGTGGTGGGTGATCCGACGAACGACCTTCGGCTGCCTCCCGCCCGTATGTCAGTATGCCAAGGCTTCGACAGAGAGCTCACAACGACCACGGTCAGGCGCGACACAGCTTCTTTGAATTACTTTCTCACGCCTTCTTTGTTTGTCGTGTGTGTCCTCTGGGGCCTTGGAACGTTCCCACTCTCAATGACGTCACATACATCGGTGTAGAGTGAATCGGACGGGTCCCGTGATGTACGTCTTCATGGAACTGCTTTGACTAAGTCCTTATCTTTCTGCCACAGAGCTACTGTGTGTTTGATGCAAGTGTGGAGGCAGCAGCATCCGGGACTCTGCACTGCCCTTGGCGCTGCCTCCAGCTAACATGGTCTTAGGCCGGAGGGATTTAAGTGCCTTTAGTTCGACGGTTTTCCACCACTGCGCAGTGTTAGTTTCAAGTGCGGCTTGGACTGATCTTGGATTGAGCTTTGCCGTCTGCAGGCGTCGAGGATGTTATGGACTCCGCACCGTTTGTTCGGAGCCAAGAGAAGGTGTTGTGGTGCTATGGCCGACAAGCTTCTCAGCTATCTCCACTCTGAGACGTATTCATCCATCCAGTACTCAGTCATTGATGTTCTTGAAGCTCGGATACACGGAGTCAAAATCGTGGGACCTACCCAGAAGCCCCGTGAAAATGGGAACTGTTTGGGGTGCTGTGTTTGCTAGAACGGAGCCAAAATCGTTTTTCCCGCCTTACAGTCCATATTCGGTGAACTTCCTTGAGGGTCGGAAACGTGCAGCACTCACTCCTCCAACTGAGGTGCTTCAGGCATCCACACCGATCGTTCACGCGCACATGCTGCCGGGAACTAATCTTTGTTCACATTCTCACGTTCCTAAAGACAGATTGAGGCGGCACCAGAGCTGGCACATGACCGCCTGTACGCGCACGAATGCACCATGTAAGACACGACCAAACCTCGTTGGGTATAGTTTCAGACGACATGGATGCTCCAATCCGGGCGGCAAAGTGGATCAGATAGTTGCTCCTGTGGTTCCATTGATAGACATGTCCCGGAAAGGTTTGCGCGATGTGGCCTCCGTCATGTTGTGGTCGTCGATAGCGGACCGCCCGTGATGGTCTTGACACACAACTGGGTGTCATTGGCTTTGGCCGTGTGGGGGATCAGAGCCTCAGCCCCTGGAAGGACACAGACCAATTGGTGTTCGACCCCTGGGCAGCGTGTGCATGGTACAGTTTGAACAACTGTTCTTTTTCGTTGGCGCATGGTTTTTTCTTCTCAGGTCCTGACCCGCAAGAGCCTGATGCCTTGGCGGACACCTTGGTCCGAGACCGAGGAAGCTTTCAAAGACGCTCACGCGGTCACCGGCAAGCCGCCGTGCAATGCGGTGCCCAAAAGGTTGGACGAGTCGAACTTGCACCACGACACCTTTCTCGAGCAAAGAGCTGCGCACTCGTCGTGGTCCAAGTTCTTCTCGAGCTCAATTCCTCAATCCTACATCTTCCAGCCAGGGGCTGCCTGTTTGCAAGTGCGCCGAAAATTAATCTCCTTTCAAGGCCGACAGCTTCCGCCATAGCCTCGCGCAACAATTCGTTTGAGCCCCGGTGACATGCTTTCCACGCTTCCCATGGCCAGCCCATGCATATGGAAATCTAGAGCATTGGGCACCATCACAAGCATCATACCAATCATTCAAGGGTATCCGGAGATCCTGGTAACAAACACAGACTTCGTCAACAAGTTGAATCTGCTTCCAGGCCGCCCAACACCCCGCCGCTGAGTCGGCAAGGTACCTGCACTTCGCGACAACTCACATGTTTGCATGGCTTCGGAGCTAATGCAGGAAATTCGGAGTTGAGTACATGTCGGACACACCACCACGGAAGATCCATGAGGCGTCAAGGTCGATCTCAGACAGATGCGCAGATGCAGGAGACAGGAACCCAAACCTTAGAGAATCTGATTGGAAGGTAAAAATGGGCATGGTCTGTCATGGGGGGGGGTGACCATATATATATATATATATATATATGTCTACCCGGCCCCAAATGAAGACCATGGTATCCCGAGAGCTTTTGTTCAAATGTGAACCGAATCAAAGTAATCCTGCCAGAAGGCCCCGAAGGCAAACCAGAATCCGGACAGGCATACTGATTGCGAAGGAGAAGTACTAGATGTACAGGAGCAGTCCCCGAAAAGGTGCAAAGGCTTCAGTGGCCTTGTTTCGCGAGATGCCACGATATGTGCTGGATTCTGTCCAACTTTAGAAGTTTCAGGGCGTCCTCGCCTTAGGAGAAACAGAAGAGAGTGCCAATTTCACTCTGCGAACGGGCCTATGTTACGTTCACTTCATTCAGTGCTACGAACACGGGGGGTCTGTCGTGGCGGTACACCGTCTACGTCTTTGCAACTGGGGCCAGGCTCCTGGCGCTTGTCCGGTGGACACGCTGGCAGCAACCCAACAAGGCGAAAGCAGTTTTGAATGTACTGGTAGGCACAGCGGCAGAAAGGGCTTGAGCTTATGGCTGTGCCTTGCAGGCTGGAACACCACCAAAGGATCCGGGATGAGAGTGCTCTCAGCAGCCCTGCTGCAGACAGGGGATGCCATAGGTCGTACAGTCAATCCACTTCGAAAGCTCAATGAGGAGACAGCAGCTTGTTTTTCCCCTTATGTAGTGAGCTCCGCTGGTGAGTGCGCACGCACTCCGTCGTATCTCAAAATGACGTGTTTGCAAACAAGGCCCCTTGGTGGAATCGCTGCGCCTCACCAGCCTGGCTGCTTCGCATGCATCAGTCACTATCATGCTACGAAAGTGTTTGGGTGCATGCTGGATGCACGCCTCGAGACCGAAGGACGCTACACCAACGACAGGAGCTGAACCCGGCGAGGGCGAGGAGGGTGCCCACGAGCGCCTTGGTGAACTTGACATGCTGGATGAAGCTTTGAGGGGAGACCTCCAAGTATGGCTGGGGCTGTAAATGCTTGTTGCCTGCGATCCTGCATTCGCCTGATTGGCTTGAGGTAGAGAGGTGTGCAGAACGACCGAGGTTCACAATGGAGGGAGCCTGAACCTCTTCGGATGCGCGCACACAAAGCTGCGAAGCCGCGGCAATCGAAATTTACAACTAGCTCAAGCCTGGTGCTCGTCAGCATGGGGCTGAGAGAGCGTAACCCAGTTCCTTCCGAAACTAGGCACTGGACCAAGTCACTCAGCCCCGTACAGCCGCTAAGTCAGTGGCATGTAGCATCAACGGCTAACAAGTAGCTTTTGGTTCTGTACATAACGGCAGGCTAGGTTCATGCAAGGCGATGTACTCGATCAGACCGGATGATCAGAAGAGCTTAGTTGTGTCTGTCTCTGAGCGGACGACCTGAACCTGGCAGCGTGCGACAGCTTCTTTTGCTCGCTCGTCGCTGGCCTGCTTTAGGGATAAATGTCCAAGCACTTCTTCGGTACTGCCGGTACTGCCCGCATTGCCCCCGTCCTCAGCCTACCTTTGCAGGGCTGGATCCTTAGTTTCACGGAGGTGCCGAGCACTTGGCTCGCGCGGAGAGAAAAGACGGATCTGCGCAACTGAAGCCAAAGCTGAAAGCAAGGCAGGCCTGCTGCTCACAAGGAATTGGCTTTGCCAAGCAACGCAGCAACGAAGTGATACCTCCAGCAGCAAACCAGTTCAGCACAGCCCCCACCTGCGCACAAATCTCGGACCCGAAGACTCGTTTTACTTCCCTTTGGCCCGATTCTCCTGAGGACGGGTCCTCTCAGATCTTCAGCCAGCCAGAACAGAGACCCTGCACCCCAGCCAAATGAACTAGACACCATAGGGCGAAGGGCGGGCATCCTGCCTGTGAGCCGATGGAGCCGCTTCGCCCAGCTAACTTGCCCCCGCTGTCTGTGGGGACCACTGCAGGCGAGTCCGATTTTCATGTTTGACTGCGCCTTCAAACTTGTCGAAGGGAGCATCTCTTGCAGGTTCAGCACGGCCGAGCGAGGAAGCCGGAAGGCTCCGAGCTAATTCTGCAAGCCTTTGCTCGTTGCTCGCTCTGATAAGGCATTCACGAGGTCGGGGAACAGAAGGGTCCTCACTGCACCGGTCTAGAACGCACAGACTTATGCCGTGAGAGAAGCCCGACACGCCTTCGAACACAACTCCGGCCTTTCCCTAGGCCTCCTCCTAAGCTCTCCAAGACTCGCAGCACCTGCAGCTGTAGCCACCAAGACCAGAAGAGGAAGTTTTTAGGAGACTCCAATCACTTTGCATGAAGATTTGTGTGCGACGGCGGCCGTGCGCAGCGGGTGAGACGGAGTCAAGCAACTGGACGTTGGAGGATTTGAAGTCCAAGGCTGCTGCAGACACTGTCTTTGGGCCTGACACGAGCCAGCAAGAGGTGCTTCAGTCCATCCTGGAGCCTCAATTGGACAGGTTTCTGCACGAGCCTGGTTTCAGCGCCGTTTTTCTGGCATATGGTCAGACTGGCAGCGGTATGATTTTTGGCCCGCCTGGTGTGCTCACAGAGCATGACTATAATCAAAGCGGAGGCTCTCCTCAGACCTGGGGTTTCTTCCCCTATGCGGCAGTGGCAACGCTTGGAGCCCTGGAGCGTCAGGGGCTCCTGAAAAGAGCGCAGCTGAAGGTCTCAGCCGTGGAGGTGTACTTGGAGCGAATGTTCGATCTCCTCAACGAGCGGCACCACGTAGCGGTTCCTGGGGCATCTGTGCGTGCCGCCTCCAATCGGGCAGATAATGAATCCACGAAGTACGATGCCAATGGAAAGTGGCTACCTCCAGGGAAGTGGCTCGGTGAAAAGACACTGCCTGGAATCTCAGCGACAGCCAAAGAGACAGTGATTGACTCTGCGATAGATGTAGTCCACGTTGCGCGGCTTGTGGAAGCCACCCGATCGGCTCAGTCGCACGCCCTCAACCTTCGATCCAGCCGGTCTCATTGTATGATCACCTTGACCCTACGGTTGATCGATGTGGCGGGAAATCTCTCCGAGGGTCGCCTGGTCTTCGTGGATCTGGCTGGCTCAGAGCGGGTAGGGAAGAGTGGTGTGAACGCAGACAGCACCGGAGGTGCCAAAGCTTTCAACTTACCCGGGAGGGTAACGGTGGACATCCCTGGAACTCGTTTCGATGAGGCACGGTCCGTGAACTGCTCCTTGAGTGCCCTTGGTAGAGTCATCGCGGCCCTGGCCCGGCGGGACAAGTACGTCTCTTTCCGGGACTCTGCTTTGACTCAGTTGCTGAAAGATCCCCTCACTGGCTGTGCTGCACATGTCACCGTGATCTTGGCGCTGCGTGCCGAGCAGTCCAACGACTCAGAAACCCAATCCACCATGCGCTTCGGCACTGTATGCAAAGATGCCGCAGGAAGTAGCAACATGCGAGCGAAATCGGTTCCATCGAAGGGCCGCTCCAAGGCTGGAGCTGCCGCCGCAGCCCTCGCAGAGTTACGTAAGCAGCTCCTGGCAACTACGGAGGAGGTCGAGCGAATGACAGCGGAAGGCCAAGATGAGCACGTAAACCCCCAAGGTTTCGCAGCTCCGACCATCCAGGGCTTCCTCGACAACAAGGCCAAGTTCGAAGACGCAAAGCGCCTGGCCGCTCGGCGTGGCGCGAGCGCGAGACTCCGAGACACCCAACATTTTGCTTGCTTTTAGTCGAAAAGGCGGAGCCGATCACACTACAGCCTGAAGCCGCGTCTCCGTGAGGGGTTGTTGAGAAGAGTAGCCTTTCCTCGTTGGTTTGCCCTCTTTCTGCGAAGTCTGAGTAACCAAAACAACAGAAGGCAGAAGTACGCTGGGTCGGAACAGGACACACGGACAACGCGGCGCAGCACGTAACAGTCATTGCAGTCAGGACCAACAGCATGGTCATGTAATGGCTGCCGCCACCGCCGCCGACCCCCAAAAGGAACCAGGCAGCGAAGTGCAGGCGCTCCTCTGTTGCACGAGCTGCCATCCACTGCTGTCTCCGTCGCCTTCGTTAGCAGGAACGTCCGTTAGGACGTTCGGCCGTCTTTGGCAGTCGTTGTCTTTTAGGCGAGCGTCCGCGTTTCCGTTGTGGTCCGTTAGGACGAGCGTCTGCTGGGACGATTGTCCGCTGTCGTCCGCTGGTTCCATCGTTTGTGTTGAGGAACCTGGCTAAGAGGATCGTCCTTCCTTGCAGTCGTTGTGAAGCCGAGTGGGGCCGCGTGGGGTTGGGTGGGGCCGGCTGGGGCTGAGGAGGGGTTGGGCATGCATTGGAAGCTCATTAAATACTATTGAAATACTATAGAATACTCAGTGAAGCCGAATAGAGCCGAGTGGCGCTGAGTGGGGCCGGGTGGGGCCGAGTGGGGCCGGGTGGGGTTGGGTGGGGCCGGGTGGGGCTGAGGAGGGGTTGGGCATGC